GAAAGTGGTTGAGATTGAAGTATCTGGATTTAGACTGGAAAATGAATTTGACTGGGAAATAGGGTGAGTAGAGGTAGGATGGTTTAGGTATTGTGAAGAGATACTGGGGTAGATGAAGAAACCCCTTGTGAAAATGGTGGGGGAGCAGAGCAAATGACTATTTTGGAACAAGTTCAGAAAGAAAAACCTCATCGTCATGCTTCCTGTCTAGTCTCACATAGAATGAGGTCTAGTTTGAATCTGAGGACTGCTACCTAACATTCGAGCTTATAAGCAGGGTAGCTCCTATAAAATATATTATAATGGTGCAGCTAATTGTGTTTTTGGCCAGAATCGTTCAGTTGGTGATACAAGCATGAAATTTGGTATGAATGTTATCTCTAAGTCACTTTTCGGAATAAAATGCTGGCCATCCAAAATTCCAATATGGCCGCCAGCACAGTGAAAATGGTTAAAAACAGTGAAAACTGTTAGTCTTTGTCCATTTATTTGAAACTTTTGGCCCCAAAAAAGGACTGGTAATGCCAGGGTGGCAAAAAGGTGAGCTCTTCTTGTCTATAAAATGCCCCTATGGCTTGTGAATCACAGAGCCCCTGGCAGTCAAGTCCTATGCAAGCCTTCCCAAGGAGCGGTGGGGTGGACTATGGGTTCTGGCTCTGGGTAGATGAAGCTCATTAGCTGGTTAAGGTAGTTCATCTAATAGGGGATGGAAAACCAAAATTAAACCACAGGGAGGATCTGGCTAGTTTTAGGTTTAGTATTCCAAATGCTATCTAATCTACCATAGGATTAGATAGCCACACCTGAATTGACAGGATGTGCCAACCGAGCCAAGTGTGACGGGTTTTAACACTATGCGGATGGTGTACAGATCGCACAGGTAGTAAATGCATACAAGGATAAACCCTTGGCCTACACCACTTCAAAGACTCTTATCATGGATACCAAAACAAGACAACAAACTGCTGCAGTACAACAGCTACTCCAAGTACAGGGAAGGTTCAAAATCTCTAAGGCATGCCAAGCATCTTCAGGACCACTAGAACACTTAGCGAACTCACCTCACCCACCAAAGCATTAGCTGGTTATGAACTGATTTTTGTGCATGTTCTTCAAACACCCACAATACCTCAAAAATCAAAGTATTAAATTAACTGATCTTTCAGCTGATTTTTGGCCCTGCATTATTCTACAACAATAGTCTGGATAACTGACTATATCCATGATATCCAATTTATAACAGGCCAAGCATTTAACTTGCTCATGGTGACAGATGGAGAATGGACACTAAAATTCCTTTGTGTTCACAGATCTCGACTTTGGACATGGTTAATAATGGGTTAATACACCCAACATATCTGACTATCCAATAGTTATAAAAACAAGATCATAAATAGCCATATCAATCGAGTTATATGAGCAAACATGTGGCAATACCATGGGACTTGGAATATGTTGCACACTTGGCAGTTATTTGGCAGCCATATTGGAAAATGGCCACCATAAAAAAATCCTACGAGACCAGTCATGTTCCCTCTTTAGTCAGTAATATCATGGAAAAGAAACTCACAAGATATCTCAATAATTACAGCATTTATACAACAGTATGTTGATTTTTCACAATTAGGCAACACATGGTAGCCATCTTGGAATTTCATGTGGCCAGCCCTTTTTTCTTAAAATCCAACATGCAAGGAATAATTCTGCCGAATTTGAGATTGAACAATTCTTTGGGTTATCTGCTCCACTATTATCGGAGTCTGCACAATTGGCACATGTATGTAACTGAGGAAGGGCAATTTGAATGGTCAGGATCAAATTAGTCACATAGGGCTGCGGGCTGTGGAGCGACAGTGTTTGGCTGGGTGGCCAAAACGCCAATATTTCTAACATTGATGAGGAAGGGGACGATATAGTTGCACATGGTAGGACAATCTGCCAATATAAACTTCATGGGGAAGGTCATGTCTATAGAAGCTAATCTTGGAATGGGAATTATGCTGGCCTCTGGAAGGAACAGTGTACCACACTGTCACTGCATCATAAACAGCAAGGCAGGTAAGTAGGTCACTTTCACAGTCTGATCAGTCTTTGTTGTAGATAAGAAAAGCATTTGGGGGATAGAAACAGTTCCAGTACAAGTATTAATAGAGTAAGGTTTGGCAGGAGTGGTTTGCCAGTGAAGTCAGTTAGGGATGATAGTACATGAGCTTGGGATTCAGATGTAGCTGTGATAAGGCGTGAACAATTGGAGCAACTGCAAAATGAATTAAACCTCGCCTATTTGTTTTTGGAGGCACTGTTGAAAGAGAAGGGTATTCTCAGAATAGGGAGCTGTGGGGAGAATGAAAAAAGAATTGATCCCACTTGGCTGGGCCAAAGAGAGCACTCTAAAGGATTTGAAGGACGAGGGCAAGAGGAAGATATGGTGGTGTGGAGTAGAGTAATTCTGTGGGGAGGAAGACAATAAGGATGAAAGGCAGTAATACGGGAAGAGGGTGTAGACATTGAAGAGGACTGTGCAGTAGGAGATAGAGAGGAGAATGTTGGGAGAGAGGAAGGAGTGCTTTCTGGAGGTTGAGTAAAAACCTGGGTGGGTGTTGTCAGTAAATGTCGAAGATGGGGTATTAGTATCATTGGTTGTAGCTGTGGTCAAAGGAGGAGCAGGGGTTGCAAAACCATCAAAATCAAATTTGGATAGGCTAGTTGATGAAGGGGGTAAGCCTTAATGCCCATATTGAGAGTAAATAACCTTTATTATTGGCCATGGTCAGCCTGAATAAAATGGGGAAAAGAAACAGTCTACCCCTCAGGGTCCCCATAAGGGATAAGGGATAGGCAATTAACCAAGGAAATGCTGTACCCATGGTTTCCGGAAGCCATTCATGACTCACATAAAGCCAGCCTTTCATCCTTTCAGCACAGCTCTCTCACCTTAGGAATGGGACAGAAGAAGGGGATGAAGATGATATGGAAGAGGAAGGAGAAGAAAAGACCAAGCAAAATTAGTTGAGGTGAGGGCTGAGCCCCAAGGTAGGTAGATCCCCTACCTTGAGTCTCAGTCTCTGTCTCCTAAGCCCTCCCACAACAGCAACGAGCAAGGTATTGGGAGGGGCCTTGAGTAGAAGTTAATGAGATATTTCCACTGTCATGGCATGCATGCACATTCTGCCATGATTACTACATAAGACAGAAGAGTGAGCTGCATAAATAAAAAAAGAATCTCTCTTTGTATGTAGATTAAAGATATGCAGCAGAATAGGAACCTATAATAATAATAATAATAATAATGAAAACACCACCACCATCAGACAGGAATAAGTGATGGTGTTATTACTCTATCTCTTTTTCATAAAACCATGATCTCGGTCCTCCCCAATGAGAAAAATTACCTACACCAGATAAAGTTATTGCATTAAAGAATACAATTTACCAAATTGAGCCAGGAACACACTCATCTATAAAAAGGGGATAACAAGAGTATAATTTAACACAACCAAAAGTAACTCATATCTCAGAGGACAGTGTATGGTTGTGTGTCCCTGTCTATGTTCAAAAAGGTTCATTTATTTGTTCCTTAACCCTTAGCCTCTGGATAGTGCAGGGTTCAACAACATGGCATGGCGTGACTCCAGGCAACATATCATTCATCATTATTATGAGGCATGCATTACATTTTATGGTATTCTTCTTAAAGGAGAAAGGGAGGTTGAATGCTATGACTGACTAGTGATTTGTATAAAGGATGAATCATTTGCCTGTTATACCTGGAAGATAGACTGTTCCCAAAAACATTTTGCTCTATTGCTGCAGAAGTGAACCTTCTGCAGCAATTGGTGCTCTGCCAGTTCATATGACTGTCTTTAGGTAGGATACACAAACATATAGTACTGAAGCCATGATAGTAGCAGCCTTGTATATAACTTCATACATACTCATGTTTAGTAAAAATATTATTATTATTATTATTATTTTTACCCCTCAATAAAACCACACTCTATCTCATACACATAGTATATTATACCTTATTTATTGAATTAGACTCTAATGTACATGATCAGACTACTACAGATTTGATCTAGCGACAAAAATGCATATCATGCATCTCTGATTATGCAAAAACATTAAAAGGAAGGAAGGAAGGAAAAAAAGAGATGAAGAAGAAAAAAGAAAGAAAGAAATATAGAAAGGAAAAGAAAAGAAAAGAAAAGAAGAAGAAGAAAAAAAAAAAAACATCATCTCACTTTACGGGTGTAGTGCAGCGAGTGCTATGCACCAGCCACATCTGAAAAAAGCCTTGCAGACAAGCCCAGTTGGCCACACATACTACCTGGAATGGAGGCCCAGTGAACCCCATATTCTCCTGGGGGCACTGGATTCAGCTACTGCTGCCAGTTTTATTTTAATAATTTTGTTTGCACTTAAATAGGTGTACAAGTGCTCAGCCACCAACGAGTCGATAAGTAAGTATATATAACCTCACCTGATTTCCCCTTTCCTTAAAGAGTCTGGATTTTTTTTCTCCATTGCTGTTAATATCAGTGATGTTATTTTCTATTATCTTTATGATTATTAAAATATTATCAATAATACTAATGGCAATGAAGAATATTAGAATCTTTCTGAAAATCAAGGACAAAGGTAAACAAGTGAGATAGGAAGAACTAGTAACTAACTCCTTAGTAGCTAAGCACTTGCAGAGACATCTAAGTGTCAAAACAATTTAAAATAAAAGCAATTTAAAGTGGACATGACCTGTGCTTTTATCATCCTTACATCGAGTTCAAACATCTTCACATGACTGATAACACAATATTGTTTCAAAATATGATTCCTTTGATTTTTACATGAGCATCACTTTTGTCATGGTGAAATTTAAGTACTTTCTCTCCTATGTCCACATAATGTCAGTTGTCTGAAAAATTAAATATTAAGTATCAACTATAAACTAAGAGGACAATATTGTTTTTGAAAAAAAATAAAGGTGCTAATACAGTAAATGTAAATAATGTATAGTTTTATTGTGCATTTTTGCATTGAGATTTTTAAAAAAGAAATATAAATTCTGTCGTGTCAGGGAGAGCTAAAAATTGAGGTCCCAGCTTTTATGCATTGAACAAGTGCAAAACCCATTTCACATCTCATAAATATAGAACTATATTACTGATAATGCTCTATATATATCTTCTAAAACTACTTCCTTAACCCATTAGTGACGGGTGTCCCATATATGAGACACCTGAAAAAATAAACATTGCCAGGCGTCCCGCCAGTGTGACGCTATATCAGGGCTCGCGCTCCGACGCAGCAGCGGGCCGTGGCCAGTGGGCGGACAGACTCCGGGGAAGCTCCGCCCGCCGATTTTGTAGCCGCACGGAATATTTTATTTTTGGCTTCAAAATATACCAGCGCGAATGGGTTAAAAGCAATGCCAAATGTGGGAGTATTACAATTACAGTTAACTTGGTAAACCTACATTCTACCTATAGATCTTATAGCCTTAAAATCCTTATTCTATTGCATATTTGATGTTTACAGTATGTTACACAATCTGGGCTCGGAAAGCACTTGCAATAATTTACAAAATTTTGTACTCGTTATTTTTTTCCAACCCACTTTCTAGATATTTTCTAAAGCATATTTTGCACCTCTATTAATAAGACTGTCTGGGGAAAAAATCAAAATATATACATTCATAATATGAAACAAAATATGGATAGGGAAATATACCATTGATGGTAATACAAATTATGTAATGGAGGAGTACTAAGACAAAGAATTGATGGAGAAGAAAAAACAATAATAAAAAGGAAATAACAGTACAATATTCAAATGAGAAAAAAGTTGGCCAAAGGTGATAGCCAATTTCCTATTGAGTATATTTCTATATTGACCAACTGTCCTCAATAGATCAGCACATAAATGTTCTCTTAATCTAGATTTAACCCTTATCATAAGGACCATATTCCAAGTGAGTATCACATGAATATCTTTAATAAAATAGTATAAGCACATGAATTATCTATTTATTATTTTTAAATTAAAAAAGGAAAATCTAAAAAGATCAAATCCAAAATATATTACTGGATCTAAATAACATAATAAAATTACAAATAAAGTATCTCATTTCAATGCAGTCCTATCCCTGAAGAGAATGGTATTGAAAGTTTAATCTTCTGTTATCAATAGTCTGTATTATAGTACTGAAGTAAAGAAAGTAGGTAATAATGAATTTCTCTACTTTCATCCGATGTAAAAATAATTATACATTTCATCCGAAGTAAAAAAAGGTGGCCTGACTATCACAGTGCATAATTAGCGCTGCATGCTGTTATGAAACATAAAATACAAATGAAAAATATAACTCTTATATAAAGTCAAATACATATTGGGGTAGAGTACAATGTAAAAAAAAAAAAAAAAAAAAAAAACAATAATTTTTACCTGCCTGTATACAAACTTGGCATTAGGCACCAATAAATAAATGACATACAATAAAAAGACAATTATGACATTTACTTATATGATAGCAATGTTATGGCATCTTTACAACCACTTAAAATGTGCCAGACTGAAAATTCAGCCAAGTCAATTACAGTCGATACTGACAGCATCTACACAGCTACTTAAAAAATTACTGAAAAAACATTCAGCCAAGTTCATTTACTGAAGTTGATACTGTGAACGAAAATCCTTTGGGAAGAACACCCACTGAAGATGTGGTGGCTTGAGTACCAATACTTTCACATATTAATTTTGTAAACTCCTCCTTTCTCATATCTCCATGTCTTGTATCGGGTCACAAAATCTTCGCAATACCTAAGGAGTCCTTCATCATGTACTCTCTGAGGGCCCACAAGGCAGTAACAACCATGCCATGGGATCCTGGACCATTCGCCAGCCAGTTAGCAGGAAGACGTCCTGAATCATTAATAACAGTATTCTCTTGAGTTGCCATCAGATGTCTCTCCCAGTTGCTTAGAAAAGGTTTATCCAAATTTTCAATGTAT